AACGAATTTACACAACCAACATTTGTGGACGGATTGAATTCGCTATGGTACATTACAGGATAGACACCAGCATCATTTTGTGATTAATGTGTGGACTGGAATTGTAGGTGACTGCCTGGTAGGTTCATATGCTCCCCAGCCCTTCTTACAGGGATATTATTGCGAACGCATTTCCAGACCTGCTAGAGGATGTACCCTTGCTAATACGAAGACGCGTGTGCTTTATGCAGGATAAGGCTCCATTTTGCACACATTGATCGCGATGCACTGGCTGACATTTACTATGAAAGGTGAATAGGTAGGGGCGGACCGGTTTCATGGCTTGAAAGGGTTCCACGTCCCCAATCATTTGGATTTTCTATCTATGGGGCATGGTTTATGCAGAAGACATTAATAATGCAGAAACTCTTTATCAATGTGTCATGGGAGCCTGCGAAACCATTCGACACCGTGTGGTAGTATTTGAAAGGATCCGACAGTCAATGATCCCACGGGTGCATGCGTGTAGAAGCAAACGGAAGGCATTTTGAATATTTGTTATGAGTTGTTGTGTTAAGACGATGGCCTTTTTCACATATGTTTATATGAACATTTTACCTTGTTTTGGTGTCAGGAACACGACCCCAATATTTGGAAAAGTATTTTGATAGACCCTATATATATATATATATATATATATATATATATATATATAAAGTTATTTGTACCCACAGAAATAAAACATAGATTTAAACAATTGGACAGTATTTTCTCGACAGCCATGTTTATGTCACCGATTATGAAGTGACTTGCTTCTCAATATTCCACAGTGTTTGCTCTGTATACCATCTCCGTGTCCTGGAGGCTCTATTTATAAAATTTGATCAGTCCAGCCTGTGTAGACAGAAGTATTTTGTACGTTCCTTACGCCTCTTGGAGGGACTGTGAGTGTATTTTTTTCAATTTTATACTCTTGTGGAACTTGCTATTTTCACCCCACTCCCAACTTTTGAATTTTAATTGTTTGTAATTAAAATTTATCTCTTTTTAATTGCGTTCCACCTTTCCTTCCTCATTTATTATATTGAGTATGCCTTTGTTTGTAAGTGTAATCGAAAGGTACCTAAGGTATAACATGACGTCCGTTTTGTTTAAATATATATATATATATATATATATATATATATATATATAGAGAGAGAGAGAGAGAGAGAGAGAGAGAGAGAGAGGTGTGTTTGGGAACAAAATGAAACGGAAAATAATTCAATATTAGAATCCCCAGCACCTCTCGCATATGCAATCTTAACTATATAAACAAACGCTGTCCGATGATGTCCTATAGAACGAAACGCGTCGCATGAATCTTTTTTACACTTTGTCATACTTCTTTCCCCCAATATTGTCCTTGACATACAAAAATTTATATAACGTTATCACACACACACACACACACACACACATATATATATATATATATATATGTCTGTCTCTATTCCTATGACTTACTGCTTCGCTCTCTCTGTATTATTTTCTCTCTCTTTCTCAGTCTGTGTGTATGTCTTTCCCTTTCTCTTTCTTTCTCTCTCTCTCTTTCCATTTGCCTTTTACTCTGTATATCTTTTTCTTTCTCTCCTTCTTTTTCTCTCTCCGCCGATCTATCTATATTTCCCTTTCTCTTCATAGACCGCTCGCTCTGTTTCACTCCGTTCCTCTCTGTTTGCTCTTCCTCTCTCTCTCCCTCTTCCCTCTCTCTCTCTCTCTCTCTCTCTCTCTCTCTCTCTCTCTCTCTCTTTGACTATATGTCTCTCACTTTTTCTCTCTCAACTGTAGTAAGTGTGATTCAATCTATATATTCAATCTATTTCCCGGATGCCCAGCGCTATTTATTCAACGCGACATAGACTGTCACCTGGGGCCATGATTCTTTGTTGATATTGATTACCTTCAAAAACTAGCTGCAGGTTGCATCTGATCTTTTTCCAATGCTTGAGTGGATGCCGGTGGACATGTTTCTTGAAATAAGACACGGCTTTCCGGCCCTGCGCAAGTATATAAAGATTGTTTGCTTCACGATTAAGTTCAACTGAATTTATACAATTGCTATATTGACAGAAGTGACTTATTGGTCTATCGACGCCTTCATCAATATGCGATGATTACAGCAGGATCAATACAAAATACTATTGAACAAAAAACATATCAACTACAACAGAAGTCTTGTAGGATTTCTTCGGTTCTTGTCTTTGATAGATCCGAATGATGGAAGAATTCAGCAGCCACATTACCGATTGGAATTTTTTAATTGATTTGGTTTTTACGGCTTATCAACCATTTGCAGGTTATTTAGAGTCCGAAAATATTCTATAATGTTAGTTTTTTTTATAGATAATAATGGTTTAGTGATTCAAATCTTATTAATTAACCCATAGTTGGGGGAGGAGAGGTGGGTTTATACCTTATCAGAATTTTATAAACAAATAAGAAATTTTAATGTAGATATAGTGTAGGGGATCAATTCTATATTAAAATCAGTATATAAACTGACCCTCACTTTGTGATCACGATAGTCGCTATAGAGAATGTAAATGAATAAATCCAAAAGACATCCCTGTGTAGCTAATCAGTATTTCATTGTTTCATTACGGTTTATCAACCCTTTGGATTTTGTTTAAAGCATGAAAATATTTTTAGATTGTAAGAATGATTTTGAGATAATAATTATTTTACTAATACGAATTCTACTAATTAAACCATAGCTGTGGGGAGAGGGGGCGGATTGATTGCATCCCCAATATTATTTGCCTGTATGTAATATATTTTCATAATATAGATTGAACATTAAAGAATATGAATTTCAGTCCTTTATTAAATTTTATAAATGTTAAAGGTCGGGGAGCAGTTTCCTATGTAAAATTATTATAAATTGATCCCCCCATAAGTAAGACAAAATAAAATATGCTTAAATGACATGATTTCCTCAAATGTAAAAAAGATAAAACAAAAATTGAAATTCATAATCTGAATTTCTTTTCTTCATATATTGTTATCATTTAAGCATTCCCTATTACGTATTTAACAGAATTTTTTTTACATTTTAAGAATTCACATTGTATATGTGAATGTTTTGGCTTTCGTAGAGGGGGCAATTTACAATGGATTTATACAGGATTCTCACTTTTAACTTTTATATTTTTTTTTAAATATACGTGATCTGGTGTGTTTAATCTATAGTGATATAAAACAAATGGGAAAAAATGATTATTTCTGGTCGATGTGCTAATTGTACAATTTCATCACAAAATCATCTAATAATGTCTTCATCCTTGTTTTTTATGTGATGACGCATTTCCATAATTCCATATATTGCTTAAATTATTGTCTTCATCTTGGTTTTTTTCTGAATTTCTGGAATAATGTTACGTTGTTCTTATTTTCACTTAAGTTAATCTTCTGTAAATAATTATCTCTTGTTTGTCTGAAACTTTGTTTCTATCGATAGAATTATTAATTGTTCATAATGGCTAATGGCTGCTTTTGCATGAATGAAAGCTAGACGCTGGTGGTCATTGCAAATGGAAATATTTTTCTGCATAATTTTTAAAGTTTTTTTTTTTGTTTTTGTTTTTTGCTTCGAACATAAAAAACATTTACTCGAATTATTTTAGATTTTTATAAAAGAAAAAGACACATCTACGTAGAAAAATGTCTCTTTTTGCGAATCATCGTAAAACTATGAAATTATAAACATTTCAAAAATCCTAATAAAATTACCTTTCATATTTTTCATTCCTCCAAAAACGGAAAATTGAAAAAAAAAAAAAAATTTTTACTATAGTTTTTTTTTTCTTATAAAAGTTCAATGATTTCATTAATGCATCGAAAATTTAGAAAAATTATTTGAAGATTTGTGACCCTGCTGAATTTGAATTAAAGAAATGTTGGCTCTCTTTTAGATTTCTGGAAATAAATTTTATGTCAAGAAATATAATTTAGTCTCAACAATTCTGCTTCGGAAGTTTTAAACCATTTATTCACTGATCTGTTTCTTTATTTTAAGTCTCCTAGAAACGTCTTTCCTTATTTATTACGTACGTTTTGATATAGTAACTTTGTGTGCAAATGTCGCGCAGTTAAATACTTTATCTTTTGTATTCCCTAACAGCAAGTTGACAGGTGGTGGAAACCAAAATCAGTAAACCGCCCTCGAATTCCGAGTGAAGCTGAGAATATTCACAGTAATCGTTAGAAATGGTATGGCTCTACCCGTCTGAATGTTCTGACCTACCATTGTTCTCGTCACTTGCATGTCACAATACAGATTCTTCATTGTTGCTACTGGAACAAGTTTCTTACAGGAGAGATTAAAATACTCCAATTCAAGGAACCGAGATGCCATGAAAGACTCTTAATGTTAATCTGACGATCTTATAGATCATAAAATCAAGCCAGTAATTGAGCAACTTAAAGATAATGAGGTAAGAGAGCTTAGAGAATGTGTCACTCATAGGGCATACTGAGGATAAGATGAATAGAGAGAAACCAAACTAAAATAAATCACTGAACAAGGATTGTGAGGAATAGTAAGGAGACAAATATTTCTGAGAGCTACAATGAATAGGAAGCTGTGGAGCGCCATCATCTTCCATTTAATGAAGGGGTACAATGTATAAAAAAGTCACTGTCGATTAAAAATATATTTGTTTTTACGAAAATCCATCTATATCTGCTTTCTACATCTCAGTCTAAAAATCTATTTCTGATGGATTTGATTCGTTTTGTACGACTTCTCAACCCTTTACAGGTTATTTAAAGCCAGAAAATATTTTTAGATTGTCAGAATATTTTTTGAGGTAACAATGATTTAGTGATGCAAGTCTTAATAATTAACCTACAGCTGGGGGAGAAGAGGTGGCTTCATAGCTTTCCCGAGGGTATTTTTGCGTCAATGAATATAATAAACGCAACGGAATTCCAGTTCCCAATTCCGAGCCGTTATCCATTAGACTACACACATATCCGAGCTTACATTACCTGGTATTCCAAAACGATGACCCATCTAGATACTGACCTGGCTCGACGTTGCTTAACTTCGGTGATCGTACAGGAACCAGTGTTTCAACATCATATGGCCGTAAGTCATTGATGGGGAGTTCGTTGCGTTTGTTGGGATTCAAATGTAGTTTATTCATCATGGAGTGATGGAATCTGGACAGATTGTTCCTGCGTAAAGCTACAATGAGTAACTGGCTCGTTTGAATGATGCACTTGAAGAGAAAAAAAACAATTCTGGGGAAATAGGTTGACTATTAACTTTCTTTTTTTGTGATGTTAGACGCTCACTCCTTGTAACTTCGTTAGGCCAACGAATACTCGTTATTACTTCCGAAATGCTCGTTGTAGTCAAGACTTCTAACGCAGATACTAGTAATAGTAACACCTTCACTAATACTCGCACTAATAATACTTGTTCAAATAGTAATCGCCGAATAGTAATTCGTATAATGAACAGTATAGAGAAATAGTATAGTGGATAGTATAGAGAATAGCGATCAGTATATTAATAGATGATAGACTAGAAATAGTGATCCGTATAGCAATAGAGGATAGTGTAGAAATAGTGATCGCTTAGACGTCACGCTACTTCCTATTTATTCGTTTTCTTTATGATCACATGATGTATTTAATTAAATAATGGAATCGCCCGTGTTTGCTAGCTGACGATCTATGTTCAAACTACAGTGTCGGCTGCGACACTTTACTCCTATAAAACAGCTTTATAAGTTCCACCGTCTTCTTTTGCAAACCCGATGCAGCAAACGACTACTCCGCTGGGATGGGAAGTTATTCTGCATGCTGTAATGCGAAGGGAAACAATAAATAAGCTACCTAACGAGCTTTTGCAAAATGGATTTTAAAAACACGGAATGGTAGGGATAGCAAGGAGACAAATACTGCCTTAAAGCTACAAAGAACAGGAAGTTGTGGAAAGCCATAATCGCCCACTTTCTGAAAAAAATAGGTCATATGAAAAAAAGAAGATAGTATTAATTAATAAGTTTACAGCTCGTAGAAAGACTGGCTTCAGACCAGAAAAAAAGATGAACAAACGACTGGTTTTATGCTTTTCTAATCTACGGCAGAAAATTTATTGATATAATTTTACACGCTATACTGTGTATACATAAACAATGATTCTTTTGGTTTCTTCTTTTCGGGGCAGCTTTTCTTTTTCTAAGGCATCCATCTTGATTATCAATGGCTTGTTAATTCGTTATCGTTTGTTTTCATAACTGATGCAATGACGCTCTTAAATATCAGTAACGCCCATCTGTTATAAAACGCTTATTATTCTCTTTTCGACTGAGGTTGTTCTTTGAGTGCTCGTGAATTTGACCACTTGTTTATTTTCAAAGCGCTGTTTGTATATCTGGGCCGGACGGCAAGTTTTGCCGCTTTGTACCAGTATGAAAAAAAAAAACAATCTGTAAGGATTGAATTGAAGTGTGTTTTTATAAGACTCAAGCTTTGCGAAAAGAAATAAACAGAAAATATGATAGCAAAGCGAAGAAAAATAAAATAAAGAAAAACGCTGAGAATTGCTAGAAAACATATCAAATCAATGAGTCGGGCTTATTTCCAAGTTTTTTTATATATTTTTTTCTTTCATCATATAGTTGTTGTTTTTTTTCACAGCTTTCCCGTTAAAATACCCTCTTATACTCAGGAGAAGCCCATCTACTTTTCGTCTTTGTGTTAGACAAAATCTCATACGTAATAAATTGTTTTGGTTAACGCTCTCATCCAACAATTTGTATTATTATTATTATTATTATTATTATTATTTCCTTTGATTTCTGGTGTGGAGTCATGTATTTCCGGGTCCCGACCAGAGACCTAAGGTCAGAAATGGCGCCATGACATTTTCCACTGAGCAATTGAAAAAAACAAAACATATTTTACATACATAAAGTCCTTCGTACGGTGTGGGCTGTACTCGTGAGAACAATTTTTTGTATTTCTTGATTATTATTATTATTATTATTATTATTATTATTATTTCCTTTGATTTCTGGTGTGGAGTCATGTATTTCCGGGTCCCGACCAGAGACCTAAGGTCAGAAATGGCGCCATGACATTTTCCACTGAGCAATTGAAAAAAACAAAACATATTTTACATACATAAAAGTCCTTCGTACGGTGTGGGCTGTACTCGTGAGAACAATTTTTTGTATTTCTTGATTATTATTATTATTATTATTATTATTATTATTATTTCCTTTGATTTCTGGTGTGGAGTCATGTATTTCCGGGTCCCGACCAGAGACCTAAGGTCAGAAATGGCGCCATGACATTTTCCACTGAGCAATTGAAAAAAACAAAACATATTTTACATACATAAAGTCCTTCGTACGGTGTGGGCTGTACTCGTGAGAACAATTTTTTGTATTTCTTGATTATTATTATTATTATTATTATTATTATTATTATTATTTCCTTTGATTTCTGGTGTGGAGTCATGTATTTCCGGGTCCCGACCAGAGACCTAAGGTCAGAAATGGCGCCATGACATTTTCCACTGAGCAATTGAAAAAAACAAAACATATTTTACATACATAAAGTCCTTCGTACGGTGTGGGCTGTACTCGTGAGAACAATTTTTGTATTTCTTGATTATTATTATTATTATTATTATTATTATTATTATTATTTCCTTTTCCTTTGATTTCTGGTGTGGAGTCATGTATTTCCGGGTCCCGACCAGAGACCTAAGGTCAGAAATGGCGCCATGACATTTTCCACTGAGCAATTGAAAAAAACAAAACATATTTTACATACATAAAGTCCTTCGTACGGTGTGGGCTGTACTCGTGAGAACAATTTTTTGTATTTCTTGATTATTATTATTATTATTATTATTATTATTTTATTTCCTTTGATTTCTGGTGTGGAGTCATGTATTTCCGGGTCCCGACCAGAGACCTAAGGTCAGAAATGGCGCCATGACATTTTCCACTGAGCAATTGAAAAAACAAAACATATTTTACATACATAAAGTCCTTCGTACGGTGTGGGCTGTACTCGTGAGAACAATTTTTTGTATTTCTTGATTATTATTATTATTATTATTATTATTATTATTATTATTATTTCCTTTGATTTCTAGTGTGTACTCATTTCTTTCCGGGTCCCGCCCAGAGACCTAAGGTCAGAAATGGCATCGTGACATTTTCCACTGAAAAAAACAAACAAAAAAAAAACAGACATATTTTACATACATAAAGACCTCCATAAATAGTGAGCTGTACTCATGAGAACATTTGTTTTGTATTTCCTTAAGGCATGGACTTCCAGGAATCCCTTCAATTAGTCTACTGGAATCTTTTCCAACCAATCCGAGGGCTCCAACTACAACAGGGATTGTTGATGTTCACATGTGCCACATTTTTGAGATTTCGACTTCAAGGTCATTATATTTTGATAGCTCTTTGAAGATCTTCAAAGATACATTGCAATTTGCAGAAATTGACATATCAATAAGGAGGCAATTTTGCGGTCTCTAATAACAATGTCTGGGCGATTAGCTTTGATTGCCGTCGACGACGACTACTACTACTAATAATATTACTACTACTACTACTACTACTACTACTACTACTACTACTACACGCATTCTTGTTTGATTACGTAGCCTTAGTGGCGAAAAAGTTAGAATTCTGACCATGAGGGCTTATGGTCACATCACTTTGAAAAACCGAAATTAAGCAACGTTGATCCTGGTCAGTAGCTACATGGGTGACCACTTAGGAATATCAAGTGCTGAGAAGTTTGTAAGGTGCTGGGTGGTGTAATCGATAATGGCTCGGATATGTTAATCGGCGAGTCGCGTTCCAATTCTATTTGGGTTCGTTATATTCATTTACGTGCAAATACCCTAGGGAAAGGCATGAACCGACTACTTCTCTCCTCCCACAGCTATGGGTTAATTAGTAAGCCTGGTATCACTAGAACATTATTATCTCCAAACAATAAATTAAATATTTGCTTACACAATATTTAGAATTCGGCATGACATAACCGATAAAGATTGATATGCCGCTAATCAAAAACAAAAAACAATCGAGCGTGAGATCTGAATTCGAATCTCACCTTGGTTTTTTTTTTTTTTTTTTTTTTCAAGGCTCCACCGAGCGACACTGTTGGGAAATGTCCGAAAATAGTGAGAAATTGACCTAAGATTTGTGACGGAATGGAATAAAAGAAATTGTTCAGAAGCCATCATTAATTGTGTTAGCACGAAGTCACAAGTCATTATAAACGCGATTTTAACCTAGTTTAACTGCTGATACCACCATGTTTATGTTCTCTCTCCCCAAATGTGCCTGAGCATGCGTCTGCAGCAGGGATCAGTTCGCTTCTTCTCTAGCGGATGGGTATACTCGGAAACAAGCAGCGTCAATATTTGATTTTGAATTGCTTGATTGATATACTCCCAACGTTTCAGTTGTAATATCATCCAGTCTTCTTCAGGTGACTGTCTACCTACTTTGGTACTTTCTTGGAAACCGAAACTTTTATTCAATCCATGGAGGTTAATTGTTCTCATTCCCTACATTTCGGACTACATTTCATGTGTTAATACTCAGCCATTTTGTTCATCTTTGTGGCACTTGTTCTTTTCTTCTACTGAACCGGTGAGTTTTAATTGATAGCAGTTATCTCCCCTTAACAGGGAAAGAGGAATGCGTACAATCTATCAGCTGGATTTATAAACGGTTCAGTTCGAAATTTCCAAGTGTCTTAGTATGACGACAAACTGCCGAAATGCTGTGAGTACAATATCCAAGATGAACTTTTCTGTTTAATCACTTCATCCCAAACAAGGCAATAAAGCCACTAAGACGCCATGCGTTACTGAGCGCAAAAGAATGAAAAAAGAAGAAAAACATTATTATGGAGCGAGAACAATGAAAGAACATGAATTAAGAAGACAGAAGATAACGATTAACATTAAATTTCTGGAAAAAGAAAGAAGAATTCCACAATGAGGGGTACAAGTTCCATTAAAATTTTTAAATGATGAGACCTTGGCGCCAATCTAGTACTGCGCTTAAATTCATAGAATCTAGATACCATA